ATGGCATGGGAACAACTCATCAATGGCATAGGAATCAATGTATAGTTAGAAACGCCACTCTTTGAAAATAATAATCTCTCACGAAATCGACGAGCACCCCACACTTATTGAAATTCATGGCTCTCGATTGTCAACTTCAAACCCTCTCACGGCTTTTTTCACGTGACAAATCAGCATTAGACCCCAACTATTGAAATTTCTAAAAGCATCTGAAGGGCAAAAATTCTGCAAAGATCTGAAACATCAAGAGCATCAACATGGAAAACATAATTTAAACAAACTAAAAATAAAATAAAAAGTCACTAAAATAACTAAAAAAAATAGCAAACCAAAATAACTAAAAAGGATATCACAATCACTCGTCTTCGTCGAAATCAAGCTACAATTGTTGATTAAATCTCTTGCATGCAAGAGGTGGTTTGTGAAAACAAAAACTTTTGGAACCTGTCAGACTATTTCCTTTGTTTTCTTTTCACCATTAACTAAAAAGTAGAACAAGAGTTGACCCAAATAGTCAAGAGTAGCAAGAGTTTGGTCTTCCACTTAACCACCTTGATACGCCTTGCTATACTACGCCTCGTGGATTGAGTTGGACAAATCACCAAAGTAGTAGACTAAACAAGTCAAGAATTCCCTAATCGCTTGCAATCTCGAAACCCATGCAAAAAGTAAAACCAAGCAATGCGTATGATCACGAATTCCTGCACATAACAACAAAAACCTTCCCGACAAGTGACATGATATCAACGAAAATAAAAATAAACATAAAATTAAACTAAAAATTAAAAACAAATAACGAATAATCAAACAAACTAAATTAATTGAAAACTGTTCCCCGGCAACGGCGCCAAAAACTTGATGTGAATTTTTAATGCACTAGTTTTTTATTTATAATTCCTAATTTATCGCATCTAACCACACCTTACAGACAGTGAACCCGATCGAGTATAGTATAGCTTTGATAAGCAAGGGTGTCGAACACAAGGGGAACGGTAGTGAATTAATATTAGAATGTTTGATTATAGGTTATATAAAAATGCACAAAAGTAATAAGAAAAGTTATATTAAATTAAATCTCAACCAAACAATTAAATAGTAAATCTCGATAAACTGACAGGAAGACAATTCACTTTAGGTACTTTGGTTTGGACAAATTACATCTTAAAATCATAGACAATTGCACACAACTTTGTTCATTCATGTTCACCGATTTCTAAAATAATTAGGTTCATGTTCACTATTACTAATCATTTAGCAAACAAGTCAATTCAAGCATTGATCAATTGATTAAACTAATATGTTTCCTAGTGTTCAGTTCGTATCAAGCAAGACTTGTAATAATAGTTAATTAAATTTGTCAATTCAATCAACTTATATGTGGTTGGTCATCACATATGCTCACACATTAATTTACTTATTTTCCAAGTTAACCCTAGTTTCATGTTCACTATTCCTAGGCATATAATCTTGATGGTCATCAAGATTATAAGAGGCAAGCAATCAAGCAGATATTCATACAACTCAATATACTTAATAATTAACAGAAAATAATTGTCATTAACACATAAGGATCTTTTAACAAGCTTAACAAGATAAATTAAACATGGATAAAACAATCAAATATAGCAATTAATCCAATAATCAAGGTTTCATCTAATCATAAACCCAAAGCAAATGGTTTTGACACCAAAATCAGAAAGTAGAAACATAATAGTATCACAGTGGAATGCTAAACATGGTCACGATAACAAACTACATGATTACCGACACGAATCCGCTCTCCAATCCCTTAGATCTTTGCTCCATATCAGCTTAACGGCCCTCCGGCCGCTTTCTAGACCCTCAAAACGGCAGCTATGAAGATTTCTTGTCGCACAAGTCGAAGTGGAATATCATAGATTATGAAAATGGGTGAATGATATGAGGTATTTATAGTTGAATGGAGATGGAATTAATATGAAATATTAGATTTGGATAGGAATAAGGAAACTAATGGTGGCTTAGGGATTAAGCAAATAAAAATAAGGTAAGTGGTGCTTGGGGAATAAGTAAGTTGGAGGGAATTTCCGTCCAGCTTTTATGCTTCATCTTCAAGGCCGATTTTGGATAAGATAAGTGCCGAATTAGCGAAAAGGCCCTCTCACATAAGTCGTAGGAAATTTCGTCTAGTTTTCAGAACATTTTGAATCTCGTCAATTGGACTTACGAGTCATCAGATATACCCAAAACACTGAAGAGGGGTCAATCTGCCAACAATATCATTTTTGCATCTTTTTAGCTCCATTTTCCTCCTTTTGCATTTCAGCTCCCATTTTAACTATAATTGAATATTTCAAAGCATATTAAGTATCTTTTAGTTCTAAATAAGAATAATAAAGGCTAAAATATTAAGATATGATATATAAAAATATGTATAAAAATACACGTATCAGAAGTACATGTATTTTTTTCTATGTTGCGTGGGTTTTCTACTTGGTTGTCTTTGTAGCTAACAATGGGTGAAGGATTAAGTAATGGTGGGGTGTTGTATGTTTTGGAGGATAAATGGATATTTTTTGGTGTTTGTTGTTAGTGTAAGAGTTGAAATTCTCTTGTATGTTTTTTGGTTAGTGAATTATTTGTAATGGTTAATGCCTTAAAGCCAAGTATATGGACTATAAGTGGAAATCTTGAAAGAATGAAAAATGATCATATGTTTGTGTACTTGTTTATATATATGCAATGGTAGGTTGAAATCATATATTTGTTATATGATGATGTAAGTGGCGTCCATATGTTTTTGTACTTAATCCTTAACAAATTAGATGTTTTGACCATTTTGATAGTGATGATCAATATATCATAGTGGATTAATATGTAGTAGTTATGTGCATATGTTTATGTACTTAAATTTAACCAATAAAGACATGAGAAAATTTGACTATTTTATAATAGCATCATCAAATAACGTTGTCATAATCTTCAAACTAACGATATATTCATGCAAAAAGGGACACTTGTAGCCCACATAACTAAGGATCCATAACTTAACTTAACTATCCTAAGATACCAAACCACTAGAGTCAATGACATGACTCCTGAAACATAACAAAAAACATAAAGTATAATTAACAAACATGACCCCCCCCCCCCCCATACCATGTTGCATTCCTGATCCACCGCCACCTCCATAATCACTTGCATCACCTCCTTTATAAGCATGTCTACCTAATGTTCAAGATCTTTCACATCTAACAATAGGACCTCCATTTATAAGTCTTGGAATTATATCAAGTGTTATTGCATTTTCCATAAGTCACATTTAGGTGCTTCCTTGATAGTCTACTAGGTTGACTTCCTTGGGTAGATGGTTCATCAACCCCTTATCTTTTTATTTTGTCTAGCAACCTTTATTTATACACGATAAACGGTTACAAATGGATACATTGTATCAGTGACGGAGCTTGAAGTTATGATTTGGGGGGGCCAAAAATAGAATACGTATAAAAATTGAAGAACAGGGGGGCCAAAGTAAAATTTTATAGTTTTGGGCATAATATGTAACCTTTTCAATACTTATGGACTATATATAAAAAAAGGTTAGGGGGGCCACAGCCCCCCCTGCCCCTATATATGCTCCGTCTATGCATTGTATGTACATTGTCATCTATGTTACTTAAGTTGTACCTATTTTGTGGTGTTTGGGGGGTAATGTGGACAGGCCATCGGACGTTGGCCATATATCCCTTCCATAAATTGGATCAATCTTGAAGGTTTACATTTCCTTCCATGTCCTAAACAATAACATAGATGCACCCAATCGTATGCTTGTCTGACCTCTTCCACATGCCCTGTCATATCATAGAGGGCAACAACGACATGATTGCATGGAATCCTAATCAAGTCCCACTTTTTGCAAGTACAAGTCCTTTCCTTTGTGTTCACAACAAACTGTTCATGATACTTTCCATTTACTCAGTGTTGCAAAAATCGGCATATGCGACCGATTAATCGGCTGAGTATTCAGACTCAGGCATGTCCTGAGGCACCTAAATAGGAATCGGCAAAAAATACTTGGAATCGGTCAAACTCGGCTCCAATTCGGCCAAACACAGCCAAATGAACATTGTGATTGGAATACCTATGATCATTAAGATTAGTGAATGAAGCAAGAGAACTAATACACTTAGGAATCAGTTAACAACAAACGAACATCTAATTCCACTTAATAGAAATCAACCATAACTGAATGATGAAATTGAATTTAAGTGGAAGCACCATCAAATTTCCATAGTTTTATTTTGTGTTTGTTTGCCTTAATTGAGTTATGTGTTTTATAACCAAATTCACATATTTACTTTTATGTATGTTTAGATTAACTGAAAATTGGATACTTTGATATTAATTCACTCTCATTCCCCACGAGTTCGATACCCGATCTAACCAATGTTATACTACTATACGATTGGGTACACTTACCCAGTTATGTGATAGTCCCCAGCTACATTACAGTGAAATCGGTTATAAACTCAAGACTATATTTTACACATCACCCACCCTTCAACAATTCCTCAAAGTTTCAAATTATAGTCTTCTTGATGATGGTAGAGATACGGTTTCCCTGAAATTATGATACAAACAAACGAAGAATAAAAAACTATACCAATGTAAAGAAAAACGAGAAAAGTCAGCTATGACAAGTTGATACATTGACGTCCATTAAAACCATATCAATAACGCTTAGTTAAGAGGACTTCAAATAAACATGTTACTTCCATAAACGAATAATACGTCCGTTGAACTTCCATAAACGAATAACACGTCCGTTGAACTTCCATCCGTCAACATCAATATTTACGTGAACCCCTATCAAACACTATCACAATTCTAACAATTAATACAACAATTATATCTACGATTGACACAACACATGTCTTATTTATACATACAACAAAGAACAACTAACATAATAAATTGATAATCTAACGGATTACAATGCAGTTTGAAGGCAAATAAACTGGATGGCATGTGAACAAACAAAAACGACCACTAAAAGATCTCAGCTTGCTAAAATACAACCTGTAACCACAGTTTAACGAAGAGTCTATGATTATTGAACGACACGTCAAAAAACAAAAGCTTATTATATTTTGTTATTGCCAAAATAGAGCCATATTAGACACGTTATATGGCATAAAATTGGGTTTTTTTTATGCTAAAAATATGTTTAAGTTATATAGGAATATAAAAATGTGTGATTAACCCAAATAAATTTACATTTAACTTTTCCATAGATCCGATTTCAATCAATAATTTGAAAGATTTTTCTTCGATAAAATCCTCCAAAAAAGCTGTCCGTCCTCTCGGTATCCAAAAGGACAGGTGTTCATCAACATACACACATACACAGATCTAAAACTCTTTCCAGTTTCCACTTTTCCGATCGATTTTAATCCAAAATCGATTAACAATGTCTTCAGGTTCAGCATTCAGTGGTGATGAAACTGCCCCTTTCTTTGGTTTCCTCGGCGCAGCTGCTGCCCTCGTCTTCTCCTGTACGTGATCAAATCCCTAACCCTAATTTCAATACCCTTGTAATTTCTCGATTTATCGTCGATTTAGCAAACCATACTTACACATACGATGCTAAGTTATTACGATTTGAACCAATTCATACCTTAGAACTTCGAATTAGATGGTTGTGATGATCCGTAACCATATATTCCTTTATTCGGTTATTTTTTTGTCGAATTAGAAACTTAAGGATTAAATCGAAATTAAGATTTTGAGTGATTGATTTGTACAGGTATGGGGGCGGCGTATGGAACAGCGAAGAGTGGTGTTGGTGTGGCGTCGATGGGTGTGATGAGGCCTGAGCTAGTGATGAAGTCGATTGTTCCTGTGGTTATGGCTGGTGTGCTTGGTATTTATGGGTTGATTATCGCTGTTATCATCAGTACTGGGATTAACCCTAAAGCAAAATCGTATTATCTGTTTGATGGCTATGCACATCTTTCCTCTGGCTTGGCTTGTGGTCTTGCTGGTTTGTCTGCAGGAATGGCGATTGGGATTGTTGGTGATGCTGGTGTTAGGTATTGTTCATTGTTCTCTTTCTCTATTCATTTAAATCTTCACTACATAATCGTAGGTTTGAAATTGTTGATTAGATATAAGATAACATAGATGAACACTTCATCTTCATCATGAATTATGTAAAAAAAATTGTTTATTTTACAGAGCGAATGCACAGCAACCAAAGCTTTTTGTGGGTATGATTCTTATCCTCATCTTTGCTGAAGCTCTTGCCTTATACGGACTCATTGTTGGCATCATTTTGTCTTCACGTGCTGGTCAATCAAGAGCAGATTAAGAAGATTGAATTTGTTTTTTTTTTTTTTTTAATATCTGTTTGTTGTTTGTTTTGTTTCCATAAATCAAGATCATTTTTTTTATTTCATAATTTTCCAGCTTTTGGACACATATTATTGCATTACCTTATATTTTCGTGATATTATTGGGATTCTTTGTGGACTCATTATCACTAGCGTTTAGGTTTATGCGGAATAAGAGTTTTTGTTATTTTTTGTGTAATTGTTGCTTTCAATATCCCTTTTAGAAAATGTGGTGGTTTGTGTTGTGTATCACACTCTTCTTGCAGGCAAATTGAAGATAATCACTATTGGTTTGTATTTTATCAATAATGGCAACATGTTTATATATTTTTTTACCCATAATAGCATTCTACCTCTTATCTTGCTACTATTAATGTTGTCAGGCAATTGTCTAGAAAGAAGTCAGGATCTAAAGTCTCATAAATAAAAAGGCACAACTTATATACCTAATCAATGATATCAAATGCCTCTAAATAGCAACCAATTTCAAAAAAAAGTTCCACCAATTTGGTTACTCTTCTTTTTGGATACCAATGAAATACCAATAGAGTCATGGTTGGATAAATGTATGACATTCATGAGCTTAAATGGTTGTTTCATGAAGGATATATATGTAAGAAAAAAATAGGAACGACTAGATTTTCTTCGTTTAAGGTCATTTGTAGATAGAATAATCAAAGTTTAACGACTTAATTGCATAAAAATGTTGAATCACAAAAACTAATTTAAAAAGTTGTTGCGCTAACTCATTAGAAGCTTGGTAATTTAATTTATTGTTCTTATTACATTTTGCCTGAACTTTATGTATCTATACTTTGTGAAACTTTCAAAAATTCAAATCTTCTTTAACGTTTAAAGTCAAAGTTTGAGATTGTTTAGGTAATGAACTACAGGGGTCAAATTACATTTCTCCTAAAAATAAAGGGGACTTTTGTAAATTTTCAGTTTGTAAAGGGTTAGTTTAGAACGTTCTAGAATCATTACAGATGTTTAACAAAGTTTAGGATTGGGGTGAAGAAAAATCTTGCAAAAAAACTTCATTGGAAATAATGGCTTCTTCCTCATCTTCTTCTGTGTCTCTAATGGCTTCCCAAACCCTAATCCTTCAAAAATCGACCTTCCTTCACCCTCACAGACCCTCAATTGTCTCTCTTTCTAAACCCAAATCCATTTTCTCTTCGAAACCCGTTCAACTATCACTCAAAAACCCTAAGAAACCCTTAATTATCGCCCCATCTTCATCCTCATCGTCGCCGACAATAGCTCCCAATCCACCGACGGAACCACTACTCACCGGGCCAACCAGAACAATCACAACCCTCTTCGCAATTGCCCTCACAGCCTCCAAAGTATTCGCTCAGAAGATCGCTACTTTCGCCCTAAATTTAAACCTCCAACAAAACGTACTACCCCTTACCGGACCTTTGTTTTTCGCCACCATGAGCGGCCGACCGGCGCGTCTACATACGCCATTGACAGTTGTGGCGGCCGGAATGGCGAAATGGCTTGATATTTACAGCGGGGTGTTGTTGGTTAGGGTTTTGTTGAGTTGGTTTCCGAATATTCCATGGGATAGACAGCCATTGTCAGCCATTAGAGACTTGTGTGATCCTTACTTGAATCTGTTTAGGAATATTATCCCTCCGGTGTTCGATACTTTGGATGTTAGCCCTTTGTTGGCCTTTGCAGTGTTGGGTTTTCTGGGCGGAATTCTCAAGAGCAGCAAGATGGGGTTCTAAGAGACACAAGGTATTTTAATGGAAGATTCCATTTCATAAATTTTGCTCTTCTATGAATGCATCATTGTATGCTTAGCTGTTTTGGGTTCTGTAGATAAGCTTAAATGCATTTTTTTTCAACAAAATCTCACAATCTGCCCAATTTATACTATTCTTAGTGGTTATATAATCAGTTCTTGATCATTAATATGTCTGTGAAGAAGAAAGATAGTTGTTGAAATAGTAATGTACTTCCATTGATTCTGATACCTTTGTACTTACACATATCTTTTTTCTTAGTTACAAAACAGGTGTGCAAAATTACGAAAATGGGTATGGCATCTATTCAATAGCATCATGAAGGTTGGTCTTTTGGTGTCATAAAATTTTGCTTATTTTCTTATATTTGTAAGCAATTAGTAATATTCGAGGTACTATTATAGCATTAGCAACTTTTATTATGATCAAATGGATCTATTAAACAATCGGCTGCTTGTATAATGCAGTGTAGACATTTTTTAATTGATGTGTGACAAGTGGAAATGGTTGCTATTTATATACGGGTTACCATTCAAATTATTTATACATGATTGTTTCATGCGTTTTTATATTCGAGTTTGGAATTGGTTTTGTAGTGGGCTAGTGGTTTTAATCTGTATTCTGAAACATGAATTTGTAAAATGTTTACAAGATTTGTTTTGCTTGTTGCTATTATTCATAATATTATTTGTAAGTTGTTATGGGTAAAAACTAAAAAGTATAGGTGTCTAAGTATATGTGAAAAAAACATAAGTATATTGCTATTATGGTGATAGTTGATATTGATTAAAATAATTAAAGTATGTTAATATTACGTATATATTGTATAAGAAAAAGTAAAGTATTTTGCTATTACCTGTATTGTCAATGCACTTGGGGTTAGATGGTTTTTGAATGGATGTGATTAGTTGGGTTATCAATGTTATTCTTGTATGTTCAAAAATAAAAATAGTCTTGATGGTTTATTGATATTGAGCAATGTTATTTCGATATGTTTCTCCCAACAAATGAAAATTTACCATCCCTTTGATATTTTCAAATTATTTTTGTGAATTTAACTTTGGGGTTTGTATTATCAACCTATCCATTACCTTTAAGAGTTGACTTCAACATTAGTTATTAGGCCTACCATTTATATTTTGATCTCTATTCAGATTAAATAGATTGTCGAATATATGGAAACTTAATGGGACAATTTGAAGACTTTTGGGTTGTGAAAAAACAACATTTATACTTGTGCTTTTGTAATGATTGTTTCATCCTTGCAACTCGACAACTATATGGAAACTTAATGAGACCAAATTCCGCATGTTTTACTTCTAACGTTTTAAATTTGAATGAGTTTTTGACAAACTATTTTAAAAACTGTTCATGTGTGGAATGTTTCACAGCTACATTTATATACAAATGTATCCCTTACAACTACAAGCTAATTTGTCAACCATACAATATTGTATGGCTAAAGAATTTAATGAATAAATATTGTTCGTGTACACAGGTTTTTTTATCTAACAGATTAAAAAGATGAGTAAATAGCCAATGTACAATTTTAAAAATGTGCAAACATTTTTACCCTGCTAATCAACTTAAATAATCACAACATATGTATCAAATCGAGCAATCATGTCACGTTTTTATTATAATTTTTTATATATCACAAATAGGACACAATGTTATGTTTTGTCTTACTAGCTAAAACATAAAAAATATAAGATAAAATGAGCATTATTCTTAAAATCACACAAACACCAAGATTTCTCAGCTTAAACTATTCTTTATTCTCTTATTGATAAAGAAACAGTTCGATTTTTACACAACTCTTTACAACTCAATCCTTACTACAAAATACCTAACTCTACTATCTAAATGTTTCACTCGAGAATAAGAGAACAAAACACAAAGAAGTTACAGAAAACCTAATCTGCAAACTAAAGAGAATATCTACAACTATGAAGTGTGTGTGTGTGTGTGTTGCGACTCAGCTTAATGACGAAAACAGTCTCCAATCTTCAATATGTAGGCGGGTCAAAAATAACCCATGGATCTTTAAGGTTCGCATGAAAATGGATTACATTTATAACCCTGCAAAAGAAACACAAATACACAAACAATACAATTCCAAAATATTTCAATAAATGTTAAGGTTTTTTTTAATACCAACCTTATATTTTTAACAATTATTTAATTGATACTTAAGACATACCGAACCCAAAAAACACAACACATGTTTATACTATATTGAATTTATAACACAACCACAACACGAAGTCATGCTTTTTATACAAGACACAAAAACACCATAAAGAAAAATTGGAATATCCATTTTGTGTTGTGTCCTATAATCAATCGTCACCCCTAAAACAAAAACATCCAATTAAAGAGGCCTATAATTATACCAAATACAACAAATTTTATCCATAACCTTATCTATTCTTTATGTCCATACATCAATAACAATCTTTAAGTTTCAACAAAAAAATAGTGTTTTTGGATATAATTGTGACAAAACTCAATACCAATAATTGAATTCACCAATGTCCCAAGGAGACAATGTTGGAATCCTAATTCCTCATTTCACTCCACTCATGTCTTCCACCCACAAATAAAGTAGGGGACACCAACAAGTTGGTTGGGTCTCATGTTTATTATTATAGGATTGGAAATGATTTAGTCCATCTTATAAATACAATGCATTATCAAGAGGGTAATACACACCAACACAAAGAAACAAAAACACACTGTAAACTAATTTGGTTTTTGAGTTATATTTCCAAATTAATCAAAGAGTAGTTTGATATATATTGTGTGCTATTACATTTCTGTGAAGCGTGAATTGGTATCAGAGCTCAAGAACAGGGGCCTTGAATTCAATACATGGTGATCAAGAAGGACACCAGTAAAAGAAAATGTCAGACGTTGAAGATGCTGGAGGTACCGGTGCTGCTACACCTCCGGTCAGAATCAAAGAAATTGGAACCACATCAGTGGCTTGCCCAATGCTAAACCAGACCAATTACATGGTTTGGTCCCTCCGTATGAAAGTTGTCCTACGAATTCATAAAAGTTGTTCAGTAATTGATCCAGGAGAAGAAAATGAAGAAAAGAATTACCTTGCCATGGGATTGTTGTATCAAGCAATCCCTGAGAGCTTGATAATGCAGATAGGGGACGTCGATAAAGCGATGGTCCTCTGGGAGTCGATTAGGGCTCGACATGTTGGAGCCGACAGAGTAAAAGAGGCTCGACTTCAAACACTCACCGCCGATCTAGACCGACTGAAGATGCAGGAGACAGAGACGATAGACGCTTTCGCCGGAAAGCTCGCTGGAATCGCCTCGAAGTCAGCGTCACTGGGAGAACCCATCGGAGAAACGAAACTCGTGAAGAAACTCTTGACGGTGGTACCTCACCGGTTCATTCAGATCGTCGCCTCCCTCGAGCAAGTGCTCGATTTGAAGACGGTATCCTTCGACGACGTCGTAGGACGTCTGAAAGCATATGAAGAAAGAATCAAAGCAGATGAGGACGGAGACGGGCAACAAAAGGTGTTGATGGCTAGAACGAGTGGTGGTGGCGGATGGAGAAACGATGGCGGAGGAGGTTCTGGATCGTCGGGGAAGACGAATTGGGGAAAACGGGGGAAGGGTTCTAATGGCACCGAGTCGGGAAGCTTTAATCGGAACAGATCCAGGTCGGGTGGAGGATCCGGGTCAGCAGGACCCAGTGGGTCAGGCCCAAGAGGAAACCGGCCCAGTTCGGCCCTGAACCATAATAAGCCCAAAAACAAGCAAAATTTCAATTCAGACTCGAACCAAAACCCGAAAAAAGATCTGTCAAAGATTATATGCTACATATGCGATAAATTGGGCCATTACGCGTCCAAATGTCCGGACCGAATTCAAAAATTCCAAGAAAGCAATTTCACCGAGCAAGACGACACTGATGAAACTGTATTTTTTCATGAAAAAGTGTTTCTAAATGAAGAAAAGGTGATGCCATCCAAATACAACTCACAAGACAACGATGTGTGGTATTTGGACAACGGGGTGAGTAATCACATGACGGGAAATCGTTCATTTTTCTCCGAACTCGACGAAGGAATAACCGGAAAGGTCAAATTCGGTGATAATTCGTGTATCGAAATAAAAGGGAAAGGTTCAATTGTTTTCCAAGGAAAATCGGGGCAACAACGATTGATAACGGAGATTTATTTTATTCCGGATTTGAAAAATAATATTTTCAGTCTCGGACAAGCAACCGAAGCCGGGTGCGATATTCGGATGAAAGACAACTATTTGACAATGCATGATGCCGACAACTGCTTATTAATGAAGGTACAAAGAATTCCAAACCGCCTTTATAAAATACAGTTGCTCATTGGAGTACCTATTTGCCTTCATTCAAGACTAAGTGAAGATACGTGGCGCTGGCATGCAAGACTTGGGCACATCAATTTCGAGTCTATGAAGAAGATGTCCAAGAATGGTCTAGTTAAAGGGTTACCACATTTTGACAATGAAAATCAATTATGTGAGTCTTGTTTGGTGGGCAAGCAAACAAGAAAGTCATTTCCATTAATGACGACATACAAAGCAACACGACCATTGGAGCTAGTTCACGGTGATTTATGCGGTCCGATAACACCGTCAACGAAGGGTCAAAATCGGTACATTTTCACACTAATTGACGATTTTTCACGGTATATGTGGATTTTTCTCTTAAAAGAGAAAAGTGAGGCGTTTTCACACTTCAAAAAGTTCAAAGCTTTGGCGGAGAATGAGCTTGGAAAGTCTTTGAAGGTGTTTCGAAGTGATCGAGGGGGTGAGTTTACCTCACTCCAGTTCAATTCATTTTGTGATCTAAATGGAATCAAACGTCATCTTATCGCCCCATATTCACCACAACAAAACGGTATTGTGGAACGAAGAAACATAACACTTATGGACATGACACGAAGTATCATGAAGGCGATGCATGTTCCAAACTATCTATGGGGAGAAGCGGTAAAACACTCCACAAACCTGATCAACCGTGTTTACACAAGAGTACTTGGTAATACAACTCCGTACGAGAAGTTGTATAAAAGAAAACCTAATTTGGAGAACGTACGCATCTTTGGGTGTCTACCGTATGCAAAAGTTGAACCGGTAAACGTGAAGAAGTTGGATGATAGATCAAGACCACTGGTGCATCTTGGTTCCGAACCGGGTACGAAAGCTTATCGTCTTTTTAACCCGGTTACACAAAAAATAATAGTAAGTCGAGACGTTATTTTTAATGAAACCAAAGGGTGGAATTGGGTTAACGAAGCTACACCCGACAATGAAGAACCAGGATCATTCATAGTACCATGGGATTTACTGGAAGATAAGGTGAACAACAACCAAGGAAACGATGTAAACAACGAACCAATTGAACCAAACGAATCGGATCACGAGATTGAAGACGGAGTGGAGGTACAAGAAAATGAGCAACCAAGTCCGGTCAACAACAA